TGAAGATATATACCCATTTTATGATTCGGGGCAAAAAAAATTTTTTATCTAAAAAAGACCTCTTTTCTTGGGGGGGGGGGGGTTGAAAAAACCAGAACTGGCAAATGTAAAGTAGACATTCTTTCTTGGGTTTTGACCAAAACAGTTTTTGGTTACTTTTATCTTTACAAAAGAAAAACCAAATATTTTTGGGGTTTTTAAAAAAAAACCCCAAATTGGCAAAAAGGGACAGACCTCTTTCCCTAAGGTTTGAGCAAAACAGAACGGGTTAAGAGCAAAAAAAACGGTGAGGGAAAGATAAAAAATATTCTTTTTTGATTTTAAAAAAAAAACCGGGGTGATGAAAAGATTGCCCCCTTTTCTAATGTTTGAGAAAAACAGATCCGGTGNTATCAAAAAAACACATGGCAAAGAAAATCAAAAGGGTTTTCCCCACGGAGAATGAAGCCGATGATACACCCTGATTGGGCCCTGCCCCCGATCAGAGCCCCGGAGTCAGCCAGAAAAAAAGATATTCAGCGGGCCCGGGGGCCTGTCCATATCGGGCACAACACACCCCCCAAAGCCCACCCCACCCGTCCTCGCGGGGCCAAAAGGGCCCTTATCCAGCTGGGGGGAAACGGGGACCGAGTATGCACCCCCAAGGAAGGAAAGGGGCCTAGGGGGAAAATTGGGTTAAACCCCCAGCCCCCCCACAAAATGCCATTTTCAACGGAGCAGACATAACTGAGGGGTTTGTGTTTTTTTTTCTCTTTTTTTAAAAAAGCCCTATCATTGTATGCTTTAAACCGAGGACAATAAAAAGAAGCCCTTACCCATCGGGCAGAGCAAAAAAATGATTTGCTAGTCAATATAAAAACAGGGGGGACGGGTGACACGAATTTTATTTTATGAGCCCAGATTTTGGGTTAGGGACGGGAAGTCAGTATAGGGGAAAATAAAATTTTTGTCGTTTTTTAGATGTTAGTTTATAGGACAACAGCTAGTGTGGGCCACAGAATTTATTTTATGAGACCCCGATGTTTGTTTTGGGACAGAAGGCTTGGGGCCACAGGGAAGTCAGTGCAATTTTACGGTATGGGTTAAATGAGATCCCAGAATATTGTTTTTTATCAACCCCATTTGTTTAGAGGGCTTTTGTAGAAAAATATAAAACAGTCCTCTACCCCAATGTTATTTTTACGCCAGTTATCCTTTTTCCCTTTGACCCCTCAACTCCCCAGTTTAAACACACGACAAGCTGTGGTCAGATGAAGATATATACCCATTTTATGTTTCGAGCAAAACAAAAGTTGTTACCTAAAGAAAGACATCATTTCTAAGATTTGAGTTAAACAGAACTGGCGATGTAAAGATAGACATTCTTTCTTAGGTTTGAGCAGAACAGATTTGGTTACGTTATCTTTACTAAAGATAAACAAATATTTTTAGGGTTTAAACAAAACAGACCAATAGTGACGTAAAGACAGACACTCGTTCTAAAGTTTGAGCAAAAAAGAAGAGGTGATGGAAAGATAAACAACCATTCTTTGGTTTGAGTTTAAAAAAAAAAAAGAACCGGTGATGTAAAGATAGACTCCCATTCTAATGTTTGAGTAAAACAGATCCGGTGAGGTAAAGATAGACACTCATTCCAAGGTTTGAGTAAAACAGAACAGTTATGTAAAGACAGTCACCTATTTTAAACATTTATGAACACAATCGAAAACCAAATGAGATCGAGACCAGAAACGTCACCACAAATATAGCTGACAGGAAAGAGAGCAGAAATGTGATCTGACCTAGCTGAAAGTGGTCAACGAAAGAGAATTTAGAATTTTAAACATTCTCTATCTCGGAATGAAAACGCAAAAAGCTTTTCAAGCAAACATTACACCGGGAAAATGTTCTTCCCATCATAGCCTGTCTAAGTTTTTTGGAATCTTCCGTCTTCAATGAGTATGATCCGGAGGTTCCGGCAAGTTTAGTGCGAAGGCAATGGCTTGAATCATTAGATTCCACTATGCGCGGAGTCACCTTTATTTTCCTTCCTGGATACTCGGGCGTCGATGGAAATGAAAGAGCTGATAAGTTGGATGGATCATGCTGATATTATAAACGCCCCCCCCCCCCCCCCGAGAAATAGGAATGGTCGAGGACTTTGGGGAGCAGTGAATCCAGATCACTCGCTAGAATGATAAACTTAAGAGTTAAGATCATCATAGAAAAAAAAAAAACGAGACGCACACCAGATGACATGTCAATCAACACAGAACTGGTGCCATTAGCCACCGGACGTTGGGGTTCATACTGAGGGAAGGATCTGAGCACCTATGGACATGACCGCAGTGCAATGATGATAACCCAACTAACTAACCAACCAACTTACTAACTAACTAGCAAAGTGTTTTAAATCTACTGCCAGCTTACCTGGCACATCTTTGCTTATTCCCTTTAGTCTGTACTTATGTGTAACCATCGTTGTTGTGGTTGACCTTTGTTAATTTTTTCTAATAGAAACCCCTTGCTCCATTACTGTTTTCTGTAAAATTATTGTAGCGTTTAGCTGAAGTATTTCCGTTTCTCTGACGGTACGGTGTTTATAAACCAGTTCGTTTCCACGTTCAGATTGTCAGACTAATATCTGGTTCGATATATTTCAGGATGATGGCATCTTTATTTCATCGCAAGAAGAGAACATTCAGCTTTCACGACAATTACCCGGAAGGAGACGAGGGGTCAAGGTTGTATATCTGTGCCCAGTCATCGTATCATATCGGGTTGTCAGTGGTCTTGTCCGTCTGTTCGCTGTCTTACATCCAGGGAAAATGTTGATGCTGTCTATCCTTGTATCCGTTGTCCTCTTTCTGTTGAGTATTTCCTCAAAGTTCACCGAGACTTTTATCCTGGTTGTATACTTTAATATCTCCAGTGTTGCATTTTATGTAGTGCATCGGTTGATACTGTAATGTTTCTGGATTACGTTAGGGTGGCTGTGTACAAAAACGGGTGGTTAGGAAATTATTTTTTCATTTAAACATGGCTAAACGCTGGCATCAGATTTAAGAGAGAGAGAGAGAGAGAGAGAGAGAGAGAGAGGGGGGGGCAAGACAGAGATGAAGAGAGAGGAAGAGAGAGGAGAAAGCTTTAGAGAGAGATATAGGGGGAGAGAGAGAGATAAAGAGAGAGATGGGGAGATATATGAGGAAGAGGGATGGGGAGAGAGAGATGGGGGAGAGAGATAGGAGATATGGAGAGAGATGGGGAAAGAAGGATGGGGGAGAGAGATTGGGAGAGACATAGGGAGAGAGATTGGGAGAGAGATGGGTATATAGGCGGAACAGGGAAGGGAGAGATGGGGATATAGGCGGAACAGGGAAGGGAGAGATGGGGATATAGGCGGAACAGGGAAGGGAGAGAGATGGGTATATAGGTGGAACAGGGAAGGGAGAGATGGGAATATAGATAGGGAGGGAGACACGGAGAGAGATAGGGAGAAAGAGGAGAGAGATAGAGGTGAGATATAGGGAGAGAGATAGAGAGAGATAGGAAGAGAGATAAAGAGAGATAGGGAGAGAGAAATAAAGAGAGAGATAGGAGAGAAATATGAAGAGAGATAGGCAGAGTGAGATGGTGAGAGAGAGAGACAGGGAGTTAGGAAAGAGAGATAGGGAGAGAAATAGGGAGAGGGCGGACATATAAATGACGTCACCACACATTATTGGTATCAAGCGTCAGGTACGTACTGAAGTGAACCAGTGGTTGCACGAGAGCAGCGTGGATGGTGCGATCAGCTGCCTTCATCGGCTGGTCATTGCAAAGAGCCACCTGATGATGAGGATGAGGATGATAATGATAATAAGGATGATGACGATAATGACAATATGAGAAGAAGAAATAACAATGGATGTTTGAACCGACAACTTCAGTATCGGTGCTGCACGAGCCTGATCTGTTGAGTTTTACCTCCATATAACATGTACACATATGTAATGTTATGTTATGTTATGATATGTTATGTTATGATATGTTATGTTATCACAGTCGATGTCTTTGCACATTGGGCATCCCCATGCGTGCTCAGTCCTCTGATGCAGCAGAGACTGCAAGGTACCTCTGCCGATTGTTCGCATTAAGAGTTGATTATAATATCTCTTGTCTTTATCTCGACGACGACATAGACGTGCTTCACCAAGCTTAACTCCTCGGTCACGCAATCGTGTTAGCGTCAGAGATTCGCCGTTACCCCCAACCTATCCGTATGGCGTTAATGATAACAGCTCTTTTCACGCATCTTCCCGTTTGCGTTGGTGCTTTACTTGCCAGCTGGTCAGCTATTTCAATAGCATGTACATACCCCTCTGACGTAGACCAGCCTAAGAAAGCATGAATGAATGGTCAGCCAGTGTGTGATTAGGCAGGGAAACGTTAATAAGACTGTAGTCGCCTTTCATTTAACACTAGCTTTAACACCCCACCCCACCACCCCCCCCCCACCCCGCCAATAATATGGTACTATCCAAGGAAACCACTAGAAATACCTAGGGGGAACACGTAACGTTAGTCTTCCCTGGCCCCGTCCATATACACACTAGCTAACTTCTGATTGGTAGTTCATGAGCCCGGTGTCCTTCGCACAAGGTCAGAGGGGTGTTCCGCGATGCCGTTGGTATCGCGTGTTGCATATTTCAGCACGCCAGCGCTTTAAACACTCCAAAAACATACAGAAACTGACCCTAGAACAACCCTCACCTAGAGAGTGCTGCAACCTATGTCACATGCATTCTCTTTCTGGGAATGAAAACGTAAATGCAAGACAACGCAGAAAGCAAACAACAGAGCGGGATGCACCAGTAACCTTCAGGAAAGTCGACCAGCCCAACAAACTTGTGAATGAAATGGGATCTACTCTATTTCGTGAGATTAACGTGAACCTAGCATACCCAGGGATTCCCTACAGACTTGATATTAAATTTACAAATGTACACAGTAAACTTACCCGCCGCTCTCTTGTTTGTTAGATGTTCATACATCTTTTTTGTTTTCTTAGCTTCACATCAGAAGAGGATTCTGCAAGCTTTGATTTAACAGGCGCACCATCTGAAGTGGTCAGCGACGCCTTGTCCAATCGTCAGACAGGAAACCCTGTTTCGACAGGCACCAACAACACACTACCAGCAGATGACACAGGTCATCATTCTATGGCGACAGTGACCAGGGCTGGGCCTCTGTGTCGGCTGCTGCAGCTGGAGGACGACCAGACACGAACGATAGAGCTGGTGCAACCTTGGCTTCACTTCCAGGGTCTGACTTTCACCCGGGATTCCCCGCACCCGGGGAGAGAAGGTGGGTGGCCCCTAGATTCGTGGTCTGCTGACTTCTTGTGAACATATTGTCTTCTTCAGAAAACGGTCTGTGTTTTTCTACAAATGGTCATGTGTGTGCATTCATGTGTGAGTTTGATGTATCCGTGTATGAGTTTGATGTATATGTGTGTGAGTTTGATGTATATTTGTGTGAGGTTGTTGTATCCATGTGTGTGTGTGAGTTTGGTATATTTGTGTCTGAGTTCGGTGTATCTGTGTGTGAGTTTGGTGTTTTCATGTATGATTCTGATGTATATGTGTGAGTTTGGTGTATCCGTATGTGAGTTTAGTGTATCCGTGTGTGAGTTTAGTATATCCATGTGTAAGTTTAGTGTATCCGTGTGTGAGTTTGGTGTAACCGTGTGTAAGTTTTGTGTATCCGTGTGTGAGTTGAGTGTCTCCGTGTGTGAGTTTGGTGTGTCCGTGTGTGAGTTTTTATGTATATTGTGTGAGTTTGATATATATGTGTGAGGCTGGTGTATCTGTCACATATCACTCCTGTCACGTGTCTGATATAAGGATTTCTCCTTCAGAACCAACAGCACTCAGAAATAATTATGTTGAGTCGTTTGGCTCGTATTGGTCTAAGGGATTCCCCGTGGCCAATATACGCTCAACTTATTTCTGGAGTAGGGCAACTCAAGTATTGGCACTACAAAATATATCTGTATATGAATACCATATTCCTAGGCACACTTGGCTGGACACCCCCACTACTTACTAAAGAAAGCCCCCAGGTTATAATAGTTCATTATCATAACCATGTTAACACATATAATATTTATGACTCATACACACAACAATGCTAACTACTTAGAAAGGTGAAATAGAGACACCTAAGTCAGCCATGAAAATGAATGCATGTAATCAATACAACATATATATATATACATATAATAGTGAATCAGATGCCAGATCTCAGTGGATGAATTCTAGAATACAATGACCAGAATCAACAGAACCAAACAGTCAGAGAGTCCTGGAGGTAGCACATATGTCTTCATCATCGGCATACATTGGAGCTGTGAGGAGTATAGCAACATGGAAGCACTTATCCTCTTTCTATCGTTGATGCTTCCCTCAGCTCCTGATGATTCGACTGTCTGTGAATTTGGTAACTCTGCTTCAAAAGGATCAGGCAGTGGAAGAGTACCTCACCATAGAGGACACAGCAACTGTACTGGTACTCAGCAAGTCTCTACTACCAGTCAGGGCACAACACTGTCTCTGAGCTACACCAAGCTCCTGCACTGTTAGGCTGTTTGGGGTATATGGCACCCCATAGTGATGATGTCATACACTTCACAATTGGTAGCTAGTGGGTAGTTGGGTGATAGGTTGGTTGATAATTGGTTGATGGGTTTTGGTTGGTGGGTGTTGGTTGGACTGTGATTTTTCTGCCAGCTCTTCACAAAGGTTTCATCCTGTCAGGAAAGAATTCAGAATTAGTCATCATCCAGAGGGTATCATCTTGACAGGAAAGACAGAATAAGCATCAGTCACCATCCCACATCAGCCTACTCCACCTCTGCTCCCTTGTTTCATTACTCAGAGTGTACTCTCAAGACTAGGAGACAATGTCTCCTATCATTCATCTGTCTGTTTAGTGCAAGATATGGAAAGTCAGATATATAGTGGAGATAGATATACACTCTCACATATATCAATCTCTCTCCCCCCTCCCATCTGCACACAGACACCAATATTTACCGTCAGTACCTCTATTCCCCACGACTCTCTTCTAGTCCCACACATTCATTGATCTGGGTCAAACACACTCACGCAACGCTGGCTGCTCAGTACTGACCTAAATTCTGTCCCCATCCGTATGCACAAACTTCTGTTGTTAGTTTAAATGGTACACACTTGTAGGGTCATTATTTTTATCAGTATGTGTGGGTTATTTAGGGCATAGGTTATTTAGTCTGTACAGAGGAAGGCCTAAGTTCGAATCCGCTTCTATGGAGAACAAGAACGGTATAACTATGTGTGATCCCATAGCCGATTCTGATCTCTCTACAGCAGTGACCACTTTAACAGACATCATTTAAGGTACTCGTAAACTATAATTAACTTACCCAAGCATTGGAAAAGTCCTCGACACTACAGACCGCCTTCTGAAAGTGAAATTTGCTGGCGTCGATGCATACATCTGAACGCTAAGAAAGCCGGCAGAAATAATGCCGCACAAATTCAATTCAGGCGTCGGTAAGAAGAAATTCCTTGTATACATGAGCAAGGAGTAAACCGGTTTCTAAGAATAGTCAAATAACTCCATCAATATTTATCAAATAGTTGTAAATTTGAAAATGACGCTAAGTCAAAGCAACTAGAAGATGTAGATATTATAATTTTTTCCGATAAAGGCATATATCGATACGGGGGACTATATACCTTCCCGGACGAGTCCAAGTTTGAAAGTTTTGTCGAGCACAGGTAATACAGGTCTCGACTATTATAGGGGTGATGCGTAATGGCTTGTCATTCCTTGACAGTATCCATGTGTGAATTTGAAGCATTCATGTGTGAGTTTGATTCAGTCTTGGTTTGAAGCATTCATGTGTAAGTTTGATGTATCTGTGTGTGAGTTTGAAGCATTTATGTGTGAGTTTGATGTATCTGTGTGTGAGTTTGAAGCATTCATGTGAGTTTGATGTATTATTTGTGAGTTTGAAGCATTCATGTGTAAGTTTGATGTATCTGTTTGTGAGCTTGGTGTACCCGTGTATGTGTGTGTGTGTGTGTGTGTGTGTGTGTGTCTGTATGTATCCATGTGTGAGTTCGGTAAAATCATGTACAAGTACATTTCTGTGTGAGTTTGGATATACATGTGTGAATTTGATGTATCCATGTGTGAGTTTGGAATATACATGTCTGTGTTTGGAGTTTATCTGTGTGTGACACTGGAATATACATCGGTGAGTTTGGTGTATCAGTGTGTGACACTGGAATATACATCGGTGAGTTTTGTATGTCATTGTGTATCTCTAGTATTTCCCAGTGTGAGTTTGATAAATGTACACTTTTACTGTATTTAATGAGATAGTCTGGTCAGACAGGCCTAGTATAGAGACTGTTGTTTGTCTACAGGTGTGTTCGTGGCTCCGTTTGTAGACAGAGGTAGCAGCAAACTGTTGGCGGGATTTCTGGATGTGGGAGACCAGGTGTTGCAGGTGGATGGGCTCGACGTCAGCAATATGTCTCTAGGGGAGATTCACTTCCTGATCCAGTCGAAGCCACAGATGACCATTAGAATCTCCCCAAACAGTGGTAACTGACTTTAAAGCTACAGTTAGAATCTCCCCCAAACATTGGTGACTGACTTTAGAGCGACAGTTAGAATCTCCCCCAAACATTGGTGACTGACTTGAGAGCTACAGTTAGAATCTCCCCCAAACACTGGTGACTGGCTTTAGAGCTACAATTAGAATCCCCCCCCCCCCCCCCCCCCCCAACATTGGTGACTGACTTTAAAGCTACAGTTAGAATCTCCCCCAAACATTGGTGACTGACTTTAAAGCTACAGTTAAAATCTTCCCCAAACACTGGTGACTGACTTTAGAGCTACCATTAGAATCTTCCCCAAAGACTGGGGATTGACTTTAGATCTACAGTTTAAATCTCCCCCAAACATTGGTGACTGACATTAGATCTACAGTTAGAATCTCCCTTAAATATTGGTGAATGACTTAAGAGCTACCATCAGAATCTCCTCCAAACATTGGTGACTGACTTTAGAGCTACATTTAGAATCTCCCCCAAACATTGGTGACTGACTTTAGAGCTACAATTAGAATCTCCCCCAAATATTGGTGACTGACTTTAGAGCTACAGTTAGAATCTCCCCCAAATATTGGTGACTGACTTTAGAGCTACAGTTAGAATCTCCCCCAAATATTGGTGACTGACTTTAGAGCTACAATTAGAATCTCCCCCAAATATTGGTGACTGACTTTAGAGCTACAATTAGAATCTCCCACAAACATTGGTGACTGTCTTTAGAGCTACAATTAGAATCTCACCCAAACAATGGTGATTGGCTTATAGCTACAATTAGAATCTCGCCCATACATCGAGGACTGGCTTTATAGCTACAATCAGAATCTTCCCTGAAACACTAGGGACTGACTTTAGAGCTACAGTTAGAGTCTCCCATAAACACCGGTGACCGATCTACAGTCACAGTCTGGGAGCGAGAAAAAAGAAAATGTAGGATGTTGTGCGGGATAGATGTCCCTTTGAGAGATGTCTCTTTGATAGATGTCCCTGAGAAACATGTATCTTGGACAGATATTCTGTGGGAGATGTGTCCCTTTGAGAGATGTACCTGAAAAACATGTATGTAGGAGAGATATTCTGTGGGAGAGATGTCCCTTTAAAAGATGTCCCTTTGAAAGATGTCTCTAAGAAACATGTATCTGGGAGAAATATTCTGTGGGAGAGATGTACCTGAGAAACACGTATAAGGGAGAGATATTCTGTGGGAGAGATGTCCCTTTGAAAGATGTCTTTTTGAGAGATGTCCCTGAGAAACAGGTATCTGGGAGAGATATTCTATATGAGCAATGTCCCTGAAAAACATATATCTAAAAGAGATATTCTGAGGGAGAGGTGTCTCTTTGCGAGATGTCCCCGTGAGGTATATATCTGGGAGAGACATTATCAGGGAGAGATGTCCCTTGGAGAGATGTCCCTTAGAGAGATGTCCATGTGAAACATGTATCTGGGACAGATATTCTGTGGGAGAGATATTCTGTGGGAGAGATGTCCCTTTGAGAGACCTCCCTTTAAGAGATGTATCTGAGAAACATGTATCTGGGACAGATATTCTGTGGGAGGGATGTCCCTTTAAGAGATGTCCCTTTGAGAGATGTCCCTTTGAGAGATGTCCCTTTGAGAGATGTCTTTTTGAAAGATGTCCCTGAGAAACATGTATTTGGGAGAGATATTCTGTGGGAGAGATGTCTCTTTAAGAGATGTTCCTGAGAGACATATATCTGGAAGAGACAGTATATGGGAGAGATGTCCCTCGGAGAGAGGTCCCGGAGAGACATTAGCTGGGAGAGATATTCTTTAGGGAAAACGCCCGTGAGAGACAAAGAATATAAAATTTAGGCCGTCATACGAGGGGCAGATCCTCTGGATAGATGATGATCAATTTTGAAAGTTGATGAGATTATGTATTCTCCTTGGTATGTCCTGTCTGTAGACAAAAGGTGGCGTTCTCCTTGGTATGTCCTGTCTGTAGACACAATGTGACGTTCTACTTGGTATGTCCTGTCTGTAGACACGAGGTGACGTTCTCTTTGGTATGTCCTGTCTGTAGACACGAGGTGACGTTCTCCTTGGTATGTCCTGTCTGTAGACACGAAGTGACGTTCTCCTTGGTATGTCCTGTCTGTAGACACGAGGTGACGTTCTCCTTGGTATGTCCTGTCTGTAGACACAAGGTGACGTTCTCCTTGGTATGTCCCGTCTGTAGACACGAGGTGACGTTCTTCTTGGTATGTCCTGTCTGTAGACACGAGGTGAGGTTCTCCTTGGTATGTCCTGTTTGTAGACACGAGGTGACGTTCTCCTTGGTGTGTCCTGTCTGTAGACACGAAGTGACGTCTGAAAATGTTGTTGAATGTTGAACTAAGCATTAACATCACTGCACTCGGTACGCTCCCATATGTGCTTCGTCCTCATCTTAACAGCAAGAAAATAGTTCCAATTCCGATAACACCAGTAACCGTCTGATTGTATATCTGTCTCATCCTTTCCCTGAGTGTTGAGCGCCGGTCAGATCCCCTGATAATTCATCGCAGCGCCATTCTCCTCAGCCCGTAATGTTTTATCTGCGCATCCAAGAAATGCACAAACTAGGAGTTTGTTTTTGTCAAGTACGGCATGCTTGTTGGTATCATGTGTGTTTTTAATTATTTGTCAATAAAATCTCACACACCATAAATGTACCCATGGCCAATGTTTTGAAGCCTTCAGTAAAACAAGGACTTTGTTTCAGAATGAAATCGTCCATTGTTTTTTTGTATTTCGTTTCCCCATGAAGACACAAAATTTGTTTGGTTTGCTTTGGTCTGGTTTGGCGTGGTCTGACCTGGTCTACTAAGTTTGGTGTGGCTAGGTTTCGCATGTGCTGGGATGATGTGGTTTGACCTGATCTGTTCTGGTGTGGTTTGGCATGGTCTGGTCTGGTGTGGTTTGGCGTGGTCTGGTTTGGTGTGGTTTGATCTGATCTGGTCTGGTGTGGTTTGGCGTGGTCTGGTTTGGTGGGGTGTGGTGTGGTTTAGTCTGGTGTGGTCTGTTGGAGTTTGGTTGGTCATCAACAGAAAAGACTTGATTAACATTGGATATCTGCACATGTTCCTCTCCCCGAGGTGACAATGGATTCTATTTTAATTACGCTGGCTTTCAGATAAATACGGCTGCAATGGGTACCAGCAAATTTGCTGGGATGTAAAGGCGATTTTGACAAGTTGTAGCGCAGATTTAGTGTGGATTGTTCTACCAATTACAGAAACACTGCCGTATTCCCGGTACATCTCAGCTCGGGAAACATCTTCTGTATGTTGTGCTCTGTGATGTTGTTCGTCCAACACAAGTGATAAGGACCACTCTTTCTTTCATCCGTCATGAACTTAATGTTTGTATTTCCGGAGGTGACTTATAAGTCCAATGCATGCCCGGAAGCGCCTAGGACAATGAAGGCAGGGCACAGTGTTTGCAGATAGAAGACTTGTTTGGCGGCACTTGGCCTGTTTTCGCTGTTCAGCTGCCCTTGTTCTAGATGCCTCGCAGTTCGTTGCATCATTTCAGATACATGCGCGCCGTACAGTCCGGTCTTGTGCTGCAGCCTCCCACTTGTCGGGGTTTATACTGAAGGCTTTCAGTGATGCATAAGATGTCCTTGAGGGGGGGGGGGGAGCAACATGAGAACGTCGACCTTCAACATAGAAGATTATTTTTAAGAGCCGATGGTCAGGCATTCGAACAATATGACCAGCCCATCGAATCTGTGACTGCATCAGGATGGTATTGATGCTAGGAATGCCAGCCTTATCCGGTACGACAGTATCTGGGATCATGTCTTGCCACTTCATGTTCAGTATCTTTCTCAGACAGACTGTATGGAAGTAGTTGAGTTTATCTGCATGACGTCTGTATACAGTCCAAGTTCCACAGGCACACAATAGCACCGGAAGCACTGCAGCTCTGTATACCTTCAGTTTAGTTTACAAACTGATGCCACTTGGATGCAAGACATTCGTGTATAACCTGCCAAATGTGCAGCTGGCTTTAGACATCCTGGTGCTTACCTCATCGTCGATGGTCACATTCTGAAACAATGTACAACGGAGGTATGTGAATTTATTCACAACCTTGAATTTCTTGCCATTTACCAGAATAGTTAGATCAGTATACAATTTGCCTACATCGGCACTAGTGCTCTATACACAAGTGCTGTAAGCAAAATCTTCTGTTTGCAGTGCTCTGTACATAAGTGATGTAAGCAAAATATTCTGTATATAGTGCTCTGTACATAAATGCTGTAAGCAAAGTCTTCTGTATGTAATGCTCTCTACATAAATGCTGTAAGCAAAGTCTTCTGTATGTAATGCTCTGTACATAAATGATGTAAGCAAAATTTTATGCATGTAATGCTCATTACATAAATGTTGTAAGCAAAATCTTTTTTGTAGTGCTCTGTACATAAATTCTGTAAGCAAAACCTTCTGTATGTAGTGCTCTGCACATAAATTTCTGGAAGCAAAATCTGCTGTATGTAGTGATCTGTACATAACTGATGTAAGCAAAATCTTCTGTATTTAGTGCTCTGTACATAAATGCTGTAAGCAAAATCTTCTGTCTGTAGTGCTCTGTACATAAATGCTGTAAGCCAAATCTTATGTATGTAGTGCTCTGTACATAAATGCTGTAAGCAAAATCTTATGTATGTAGTGCTCTGTACATAAATGCTGTAAGCAAAGTCTTCTGTATGTAATGCTCTGTACATAAATTCTGTAAGCAAAATCTTCTGTATGTAATGCTCATTACATAAATGTTGTAAGCAAAATCTTTTTTGTTTGTAGTGCTCTGTACATAAATTCTGTAAGCAAAATCTTGTGTATGTAGTTCTCTGCACATAAATTTCTGGAAGCAAAATCTGCTGTATGTAGTGCTCTGTAAATAAAAGCTGTAAGCAAAATTTTTTATGTGTAGTGCTCTGCACATAAATGCTGTAAGCAAAGTCTTCTGTATGTAGTGCTCTGTAAAT